CTGTTTTTCTCCAGCAGTTCTTTGAAAGATGATGACAGATGTTGAACTGCTAAAACATTTAATTAAATAAGTTCTTATGAACAAACATATCAAGTTATCATGAATCGTGCATAATTTATACAATGGGCTAATTACGCATTCAGATTACTCTTCCCAGCAAAACAAGACTAAGGCCCGGTTTAGACGTCGTACTTTTCATGAGCCGAACTTGATACAATGAATTAAGCGCATGAGAAGCACGGCGTCTAAATCAATTAAGCACTGCACTTAATATTATGCACGGCTAAATTAATAAGCTCGCCTGGTTCAGGCGTGCTGCACGGCTGAAGCACATGTTGATTTGTACTGCCGTGCTTTACATGAGCCGTACCAAATGCATAAATTATGATAAAATAGAACATTTATAGTACGCTGGCGTTGATTGGTCGAGAAGCGTGTTTCTACACGGGAAATTTCCCGCCTAAACTTACAATCGTAAACAAAACAATTTTAATGCAAATTAAGAAACTTAAAAAAGAATTTTACCTACTCAGCTCATTTTGTAACTATTACAGTCAAAATACAAAAACCTTCCCACTTCCGCTTACAGCTTGTTTTGTATTTCGGTAATTTTTTCTATTTTTTTCTGTAGTGATTACCGTTTACCGGCAAAAATCGCGGTAGAATTTCCCTTTCTTTTCTTTATATACGTTAATTTGTAGCAAAGGATACACCTTTCATATCTTCTACTTTCTTCTACTTTATTAAATACATTTTTTTTTCCAAAATAATTTACAAGAAACCACCTACATTTAGCAAGCTATTCGAGGTAGGTGGCTTTCAATTGATTGATAAGTAGTGTATCAATTTATCTTAATAGTATATATTATCGTAATTCAAATCGAAAGGAAATATTGAAAACAAAAACAAAATTGTCTAATTACATTTAATCCCCGGAACTGTTATTTTGGCGAAATCAACGTAATCATCACAAGCCATCATGGTATTGATAAGAATGATCTTGCTACGTGTTGTAAAACTATGTCTATTTAACGAACGGAGTGAGATAGATAGAGCATTCTAAACTTTAACACCAGCGTTAGCAAAGAATTTTTGTGTAATATGCAACCTTGACTTAGTTTGATAAAGATTACCGCGAACAGCAGATCTTGTATTATAGTTGTGACTTTCACTAATAGTAGTGAAGAATGATGACATGTTGATGGGCGTCCTTTCATTTATAATGTCATGCATATTGCAAGCAACATTGTAAAAATACAGAAAGTTAACTGGAAGTATTCTGGAAGCACAGAAAAGCGGTACAGCGTGTTCTCTAAAATTTGCAAAATTCATTAGTCAAATAGCCCGTTTCTGGAGGACGAGAAGGTGGTGGAGATGCGTTTTACACGCTTGACCCCAAACTGATATGCCATAATTTAAATATGGATGAAGCAGAGCATAATAAATCCTTTGCAACGTGTGTTTAGGTACGAAATGTCTAAGTCTAGCAATGATTCCAACAGCTCTATTAATCTTTAGTCAGATATAGTCAATATGAACTTTCCATGTTAGATTTGAGTCTATAAACAATCCAAGGTATAACATCAGTTGATGAATTATGCACTAAAACGATTTCGACAATAGGCTGGGCCTCAGACAAAAATTCCTTCTGGTTAAATTTAGAATAATCTCTGTTCTTCTTTTGTCTTGCACAATATTCGACTTCACAATTATTTAAAAGACATACTTGGGTATAATGATCACTTATATCGGATACGATATTTCCCGTCACTAAATCGTATTCTGGCTTATTTAAAATAATATTATCAATGAGAGTTGCGGATTCCCCATAAATTCTAGTGGGTTTGGAAATTGTTGGGAAGAAAGCAGAGCTGTACAAGTAGTGCAAAAATTCCTTACTATAAGTGCATGTATCATACTTAAGTAGATCAATATTGAAATCACCCATTATGCAAACAGTTTTAGAGGATTGATTAAAGTTATATAAAGTTTCACTTAAATAATCTAAGAATTTGGTTGGATCGTTATGTTGTCTATAAACAACACCACAAACAAAGCTCTGATTACGTGCCGTAGTAAATTCTACCCACAAAGCTTGAAAATAGATGTTTGAAATCTTCTCAATTATGCGATAGTTTATACTATTCATAATATACATCCCAACACCACCTGCCGATAAGGGGGTAGGAACATATTCAAATCTATAACCAGGAATATCAGGATTAAAGTCTAAAAGCTTTCGGTCTACAATTCGCGTTTCAGATACTCCTATGATATTAAATTGAAAATTAAATTCGCTGAGAAGATGGTTTTGCAAATTTTCCAGGTTCTTTTTTAAACTTCTAACATTATTATGTAGGAAAGATAGCGCTGTTTTCTTATTAGTTATTTTCGCTATTTGCAAGTCAAAACTGTGCGGCAAAAAATATCGACAATCGTGTTTTGCTATATTATTATGTAAATTTTGATCTGGGTTGAAATCATTATCAAAACTTGTATTCAATTTAAAAACATCAAGGTCAAATAGGCTTGGTAAATGATCAAGAGTATTTCTTGAGGGCAACTCACTAGATAAACCGGCAGTGGTATAGCGATGATTCTCTTCATCTAAATTATATACGTGATGGAAAGGAAGAAGAGAAAAATAACTAAGATTATTATTCCTAATTTGTTCGTCAATATCTGCCATTTATAATTATAGTTTAGAATATACACACAACGAAAACAACACACTTTTTTAGCCTAAGCCTGAGCAAAGGCTTAAATGTACTTAACTTATTTAGCCTCAATCGCTTCTTGATCCTGTGCTGCACTCGTAGATGACTCTAGCCTTCTTAAATCCTGAAGGTCAGAAATCTTATAGGTGTGGGAATTCTCATGTTTGCGAAGATATACTTGATTGTTCTTGGTCCAACAGTATGCAAATCGATGGCTTGCTTTGAATTTTTTTGCTTCATACAGGAGTTTCTGAGCTTTCGGCGTAAGATGCGGATCAAATATAGAAATTTTAATGTCTAGAGTAGCATTGAAACCCAAGTCAGAAGAATTAATTTTCCCTGCTTCCTTTCTCAGTTTCATCACAGATTCTTTTGACAAACGCCTAACAAACTTGCATATAATAGGCTTCGGCTTTCCTTCGTTTGAGATAGAAGATCGAACCGAGACACAGTGAACAATGTCAATATCCTGGTCAGAAACGTTAGCCCTCATTGCATTAAACAGGTCAACACATAGCTTAGTGGTTTCTATTGACGGTTCTTTTGCATTTATCTCCGGTACACCGATAATTTTCGCATTGTACTGATAACTGTAGGCTTCGAAACTATCGACTTTCGTTAGATTCTTTGCATAAAAGTTGCGAAATTAGGTTTATAGCGATATTTGCTGATAAAGGCAAAAAGCGGTAATCGCCACAGAAAAATAGAACAAATTACAGAAATACAAAACAAATCACAGAAGCGGGAAGGTTTTGTATTTTGACTGTAATTTTCAAACAAAGTTCTTTCTTGCAGTGAAATTGATGGAGAAAAGGTCGGCATTATTACGTAATGAGAATTTGTAAATATACTACAAATCTTTTTTTAGTTATATTATGAAATAAATATATATAAAACATTTATTATATGTGACCCATACAGTTATAGAAACACTTGTAGTAGTTTGGGAGAACTCGAATAACGTGGAAAAACTCGCCCTAAGCCTATATAGATCTCGTTTTCCCACACATTATATCCAGGCATTATGCTATGTTTGTAGTAATGAGGCTTTTCAAAAAGCAGTTGAAATTTTTAATAACCGAAAACCTGTAGACGCTCAGAAATGCCATGATTGTGTGTGATAAACCCTTTTTTCTTATTATAAAATGTCACTCGCCCCAGGTTTCGAAGTGAAGCAGCGCAAATTATTAAGTACCGCTCATGAAAGCAAGCCTGTCTAAATCAAAATTAGAAGTACGCCTATTTTTCTCGAGTAAAATATGAATTAATTTCGGCTCATGAAAAGCACGGCGTCTAAACCGGGCCTAACTTTCGCTAATTATATTATTTCGGCCAATAATATTATTTCTAATGAATAATATTACTAAAAGCGTGTAAATGCTGTGTTGTTTACGACTGCCACGGAAGCTGAAATACAAATTATTTAAGAAATATTTTCGTTGTTTTTTGGTCATTTTTGTTTTGTTGTAGTATAATATGCTAAAACAATTGTTCGCCTCAGTGTCGGTGAATGGGGCAAACGTATTAACCTCGACGCTTAGCTTCGCGTTTCGATTACTAACCTACCACTATTAATTCACCTCCACTTTGGTGAATAATAGTTTATTATTATATATTGTAGTTGGTAAAAGGAATTTGGTTGGCTAAGAGCTTACAGTTAAATCGCGCAATTACGCAACCTACAGAAAATTCAGTTATCTGCTAGCAGATAACTGAGTTATCTGCAAATGAGCCTGCGATGATTAGCAAGCGGTATTTATTTAACACAAACAACTGTATAATAAAACAATTATTGAATTCGGCTTTTGCGATATGCAAAATTATCAAGGTCTCGGTAAGAGTTTCAACCTCGCCTTTGGCTCGACTGATAAATCTTACCTCGAGATTGATAATTCTGCATATCACAAAAACCTCATCGAATAATTGTTAAATATTTTTAAACAAGTGAAAGACTGAATATGGAACTTTTACGCTTTATTTAATGCAAACTTATTTAATTCGCATGAAAACGTTGTCCAAGCTGAGAAAATCAAAGTCAAAGTTTATGTCAACGAACATGATTTTTTGTCACATATAAAACCAGCGACACGGTAGTAATTTCTTTTGTATTTTCCTTATGAATTATAAATGAGTTTCTTAAGTTAATGTGAGAGTAAATCGGCATAATTTGTATCAGATATACAACCTCCTGCACAGTCATTATTAATTCCTTTTTCGTGAACTATTTATCAGAATTACATATTTTATAAGCAGCCATATTTTCAAACTTGCGTGTTGGCCTAATCAACGATGTTCTGCGGGTAGGTGATGGTATGAACAACACCAATTACAAACTGAAAATTTCACTAATTTTTCACGTTGCTTATTTGTGAACTTGCTTGTTGGTTGGGTTGTTGGAGCAACTGTCAATTTTGGTACATCAGATTTTGCTATGAGAAAGATCAAGCTCCAAGTTAACTACAAGCATTTAACTATATTAATTTTAAAACAGTTATCTACTTTGTGGAGCAACTTTAATTCTTTGCAAACTTACTTATGGCTTGAGTTGTTGTTACATCTGTTTTTCTCTTTGTGGATTTATCTATAAAGATGAACACATTAGGCAAGTTAACTATACAGTGTCACGGACATTATGTTTTAGAAAGTTGTCTTACATTGTCAACTTACTTTTTAGCTGCGGTTGGGTTGTGGAAGCATCTGCTCTTCTCGTTGTAGAATTATCTATATAAAGAGATAATATATTAAGCAAGTGGTAACTACAGTTTACAAACATTAATTTCAAAGGTTTCTGTCTTGGTCGGTCCAGATTTTGCAATATAATTATATAGAAGATTAATTGAAATCTAACTGTAATATATATTCCTAAAATCATAAAAAGATGAAAATGGAATTTTACCTTGATTCTTTGTGAACATGCCTGTTGGTTGAGTTGTCGACGTTGTAGACCTACTATCTGTCTTTTTCGGTGTAGATGTTGCTATAATTGAAGGTAAGACTAATGTTTAAAACTATAAAAATTTAATATTCTTATAATGAAAAGATGAATATATAATTTTTGCATTGATTCATTGTGAACATACTTGTTGGTTGAATTGTTGAACTATCTATCCTTTTCGGCATAGATGTTACTACAATTATACAGAAGAGCAAATTTGTAAAAGGCTGAACAAGTGGGAATTTCGTTCTCGACTATAATCAGTGCTTTTGTTTACATTTTTCTCTAAGCCGATCACAATGCGTAGCCTACAACGCTTCATCACATGAAATTTGTAAACAAACATTTGGGAAGCATATGGAATCATTGCAGAGCTTTTCTGCACGCGGTTTTATTTGTGTTTTTCCATGAATTTGATATATATTGTTCTTAAAATAAATCTCCTCAATTTCCTCGTCGGGATATTTGATTAATTGCGTGGTTGCGAAAATATGGGTCTTCAAACTTTGCCTTGCGCAGGCTTATAATACCACTCGAATTTGTAGGCCAGGAATGGATTAGCGCCTTTAAAAGCCTTTCAAATCGAGGTTTGAGAGGTTTAATTTTTTAAAAGATTCTTTTATCTTCATATTTCACATATCTTTTATATTTATATTCTTTTATCTTCATATTTAACTTAGCAATATCCTGTTTAAGAAGTAAACATGCAGAACACTTCCTGCATGGACGGAACAAGTCAGTTGACATGTTGATTCCTTACTGAACAGCGGGCGATCAATATTGGCATACAAATACAGAGAATTATTAAAATTTTGTTCTGCATAAATGGGTCAAAGAAACTCATCAAATATTTGGACTGCGGAACTCCAAACTTATGCCAAGTATTTATTTGAATGATTAGCTCAATATGTTTTTTGGCTCGTTTTCATCGATATAATGTCCTCACATTGGGTTGCATCCTGTAGACATGAATATTTTCGTCTGTTTGACAATAACACTTACCTTCGTTGCCTTTAATCCTTGAATGACAACATATTCGTTGGTCTCGGAGTCCTAACTCAAGGAAGATGGATGATTTTATTTATTTATAAATATTTATTTATTTATTTAACTTCGCCATTATCATGCATTCATGGCAGGGTCACCACAACAGTATGGTACCAATTACTCTGGGCCCTTTAAATATAGATAATAAAATACAAATAAAACACAACGAAAACTTCGACTTACCTGTTCAAAAATCAAAAATTATTTTGGAAATGATATCAAAATTCTGTTCCGATATAACAATTTACAGGCGTAGGACCCACATTGTTTCTTACTTAATCTGGCTCACTGGTCACAAATGAATCCTGTTCCTATGATCTGGCAGACAGGCTAGCCAGGAGACGACATTTGTCAGTATTGTTGATATACTACTCTGCTTCCATCCTGGCTAAGCACGAGGTGCTGTATCTGTTGCCAGACTTCCAATAATGCAAGCCAATAAATTCACCACATACAATAAACACTCTATATCCCAATCAGGCAACACGAACTTGTCTTCACGGTTCCATGCTGCCTAGCCCTATATAACAGGCCCAGCACTGATCTGAAACTACAATTTGAACATTTTAGGACACCGGACAAGCTGGTCTTGCCCATTTATGTGGGCTAAATATATAGCTGCTTGTGGAGAGATACTGCATCATATATTAATGTTATTTATTTTTGAGATTGTATTCACATGAGCAAGTTTGACTGAATTGACTGGCCCAGATTCTGCTTCTAACAGAAAATTGATATCCTGCACTGGAGTCTCACACTAAAGCCACAAGCTGGCCAACCAGCTCACTGTAGACGACAAATTATGTTATAATAAAAAAATAAACTAGAAAATGCATGCATGCCGAAACCCCTCGCCTTGCTGACAAAACCATTGTGTTTTCCAAACATGAAGTATTTAAAGTAGTTGTCATGGTAACACGATGATTTTGTTAAGAATATTTTTACAAATGAAAAATCCCTTAAAAATATCACTTTTAATTACAAAATTATCAGTTCCCCAAACATATATGTTAGGTATGTTATTATACGTAATATAAGCTTCAATTTAATGTAAAATTCAACCTCAAACGCTTCGCAAGTCGTTTTAAAATGTTCTTTATGGAACAAAACTGTCTTTATCGAAAAACTTTGAGTTTGAAATAAAACGATTTCAAATTTTCGCATCCAAACAACTTTGCTTTTTTTTTATTTAAAAAAATTAATATAATAAAAAAGGGCAATCACTGCAGAAACACTGAAATTGTATGCTGTCTTTTTCATTTAAAATATACGCGACGATCAGCCTTTAAAGAAATTATAAAGCGAACAATACATTAATATTTAAAGAAACCTACCTTCGTTAACGTCGGCGCTTTTACACCATTTTTAGCAATTCTTTCGCCTTTTATTTTATTAAAAAGATTTTGAAATTCACAAAATTTTGCAAAAATGAAATATATTTGCAAGAAATCATCAAATATATCAAGAAATATTTAACCCGGAACCCGGTCCCGGTAAGTAGGAACCCGGATCCTATGCCCCTGGTGCAGGTCCGAAACGTCTTCTGACTCAGTCAGCTTCCAAAATGGAAGTGGTTCTGGCGGTCGCAATGTGAAAAGTTGAATGTCATAGTTCGTTAGTAATTGATTCTTTCTATGACGTACATAGTGTATTTGTCTAACATTTAGGGATTGCAGTAATTGGCGCAAGCTGATGCGATTGCCCTGCCAGTTTTTTGTGTTAATGTTGTTTAAATCTGGCAAAGTTAATTAATTAAATTAAATTAAATTTTTGCTATTTCTCTGTCGTCATGCCGTCGTTAAATGCAAATTTTAAATTTGACCAATCAGTGTTCGCTATTCATGACTGTCCGCCATGTTTTTGAGATCAGTGAGGATGACCACCCACCCAACATCTTTGCTCACCTATACACCCGCAATCGTTGATGAACTTCAGACTTCGCTAATGCTTTCGTTTTCCCGGATGTAAATAGCCGGGCGGAGTACCCTCGTCCCGGGCTTACTCCCTTAACGGCGCTCCGCGCCGTTGGCTCGGGGATAAATTAATATAAGCCTTCTGAAGCTGTTGCCATTAACAAATATTAACAGCATTTGACACAAATTTCTTGCCAACGTTTACCAGGTTAGCCAGACTCCTGTGAGCCAAATGATAAACTAGCCCTGAAAAGAAATCCAGCCATGTTTGCAGGCCTGTAATGTATCGACTAAAATGTTCCAATTATAATTTCAGGATCTATTGGGGTGGACCTGTTTATATGGTCTAGGCTAAGAACACATGCTTGAAACCACATCCACGTTGCCTGGTTGGGATAGATACTATATATGGTGAATTTCTTGAAAACCTCGCGCGTAGCCAGGATAGTAGCAGGATAGGATAGGACATAGTGGAAAATGACTCTTAAACTCATTTGCTACAGTCAGTGGATTTTTGGAGCAAGTTGGTTTTGTTGTTGACTTTGAAGGGATGCATCGGTTGACTATTTTCCATAATGAGATAGAATTGTTCTTGTGTCGCAAAACGCTTCTTTTCATATAATTTTCATCTGCCTGATTGAGCATGACTTTAACTTGATTGCATATCAATTTGTAATTACGCCAGTCTGACTCCTTTCTGGTCATTAAGAAAATTCGATGCAACGTATCTCTATTTTTCATGAATGTTTTAATCTCAACTGTAACATACGAACAAGGGCTAAACATGCTACTTCGTCGTTTTAGGATATACAATATATAATAATTCTAATCAATAAATCGTTACTTATATGGACAGACAGTGTTTTTCCAGCAGTAACAGGAACATGAAAAGTATAATTGAAAGATCAAACTTTTCCGTATTCCTTAGGAAGAATCGCTATAACCGGCGTCTTCACCACGTAGCAAATTAATAATATACTTTCTCTGTTCTGATTCAACTGAATTTCGAAGCCTAAATACTTGAAATATAAGAAAGTTTCCTTGAAAGCATTAACAAGCGGCATATTTTTTATACGCGACTATAAACGCGACTAAAATTATTGTTGACATTTGAGTTACGTAATTACTTCCGTTAACGAGATTAACCAATGGGAAGCTTTTCCGAAGATTCTTCGGAGAAGAACAAATTAATCAAAATATATCCTGAATATTTCTTTAATTAATATAGTTGTCTTGTTATTTGTTCACTTTAAAGTATAATTCAAGACCAAATAGTTGAGGCTATATCCCTTGGCATCTCAGGTATGAGGTTGGATGATTACAAAACATGCTCAACTGTTATATATGCTATACGGCGGAACACGTTAAGCAACCGTGGTTCAGGAGTCTTTTAAAAGATAAAAGCTCTGTGTGCACGTTGTGACTGACTGTTGTCTAAAATAGCTTCAAAAACTCATTAATAATTCATGAGGAAAACACAAGGAAAAATCATAAACGTGTTGTATCCTTTATATAATGATATGTGATAGAGATTTCCCTTGATTTACATAAATTTTAATGCTTTTCTCTACAAATACACACCGAATTTTTTGAAAGCTACTTCGCCAATGAACGTATACTACTAGATCGATCGTTTTTGAAGCAATTTAAAACATTCGCAGTGCGTGTTTTATCAGACCATCTTTATATCTGATAAAACACTGCTGCTCGTGTTTTAAATAGTCCGTAAAATCTCTGCAAATCTCCGTAGTTGCCGAGCAAAAAGCATGCATGATGCTAAATATAAATCTCGACTATGATTAGTAATGGGTGAAGGTGCTAATTACAAAACGTCACTCATCCTTAATGGGCGAAAACAAATTTGTCATAGCCATTTGGGCAGGCGTTTCCTCTGTACCCGCCCGTCAGCTAAACGCCTGCTACGCAGGCTAGCTTCATACAAGAGCTGTAAACGCACGCATCTCAAAGCGACATTAGATGCAAAGGGGCAATTTTTGAACAAAATTTATTGTTAAATTCTGTTTCCTATGTGCCTTGGGAGCAAAAAAATATGATTTTAAATTTGGAGGAATCGGTAAATTTTTTTGCAATTTGGCCTGGTATTGCACCCTACCTATGTAATGACTGTGCTGTAAAAGTAATCAAATGTACTATTTTGAATTTTCCTTCATTGAAAGGATCTACTTTTGTGAACTAAACTAAATTTTAATCAGCATACAAGGCTG